CCTCCCACCAAAGGTGGTTCCTATTTTTCTACTTGCATTTTTTACCTGCTTTCGAACTGCTAGATTGGCAGAAGTTGGGACAAGTAACGGGAGCTCACTCCGTTAGGCGGCGCTAGGGATTTGAACCGCCAAACTGCCAATCTTTCTGATCGACAAGCTCAGCGTCTTAACCATTGAGCCACCGCATCCCTTTTCCTTTTTATGGCAGCTCCTCAAATATTGGATCCCTGCAATCAGGTCTCCCCGAGTCCTTTTCACGATTCTAGATATACCCAATTCCTGCAACCGTTCTTCCTATTTTTTTAGCCTCCATTAATCTTTGTTGTTTAATCTTCACCTATCTTAAATTTATTGTTTATTTCTCTCCTCCATTTATGAGTAGAATCCAAATTAGCTTTACAGATGGAAGGCAAAGGCACTTAGGTTTATATACCGCTTCCCGTTGCTTTACAGCCCTCTCTAAGCGGTCAACATCTCGCCCCCAACAATATGGGTCCTCGTTTTACTGACCTCGGAAGGATGGAAGGCTGATTCCACCCTGAGCGAGTCAGGATCGAACTCCTGGCAGTTGGCAGAATCACCCTGCAATATTACATCCTAACCACCTCGCCACCATGGCTCAATATAATTCTATTGTATTTTGAGAATGATGTCAACAGATAGCTGTATTCTGTGAATTGTAACACAGGTAGTCCTCGACTTACAGCAGTTCATTTAGTGACTGTTCAAAGTTACGACGGCACTAAAAAAATACTTATGAATGCTTACAAGCATTTTCACGCTTACAAGCATTGCAGCATCCCCATGGTCATGTGATCAAAATTCAGCCGCTTTGCAACTGGCTCATATTTATGACAGTTGCAGTGAATCTGGGGTCACGTGATCCCCTTTTGCGACCTTTTGATAAGCAAAATCAAAGATTCACTGAACAACCGTGTTCCTAACTTAACAACTGCAGTGATTCACTTAACAACCGTGACAGGAAAGGTCATAAAATGGGGGGGCAAAGCTCACTTGATGACTGTCTCACTTAGCAACAGAACCATTGAGCTCAATTGTGGTCGTAAGTCGAGGACTACCAGTACTGGGCTACAAATGGACAGCAAATTACAACTTTCTCCGGTTAAACCAGGATATAAACCGTATTGCTGTCCAACTTCAGCAGGCTTCCGTCACGACAATGCAGGTGGTTTTTTTTTTTTTCAGATTAGCCATGATACCAAAACAATTTATATTTGTTGGCAGGTGCCACCAGGCCTCCTAATAGAAGAATACAATGAATTGAAGCTCAAATTGAAGATTGAAAGGAACCAGGTACCTTTGACACACATATAACTTTAAATTGCGAAACTCCTTCATTTGTAAAATCTCGAAGTGCCGGGAGAGATTTCGTGAACAAAAGTTAGTCGAAACATATATTTCCTAGGCAGGGTTTCTACAACCTGCAGCTCCGGAGCCGCATGCGGCTCTTTCATCCCCCTGCTGTGGCTCCCTGTTGGCTGAAGCCACCACTGGCTGGCCCCGCTCCTCGCCCTCCCTTCCCAGTCACTCCTCACCTGGCCTCAGAAGGTAAAGGTGACGGCGGGGGAATGGAGACTCGCTCCGTATTCTAGAGTGGGAGCGAAGCACCCCTGTACTTGCCATATCTTGGGGGCGCTTCTTCCGGCCCTTGTAGAGAGGCAGGGAAGGAGGGAGGGAGATGAGAAAGACAGAGAGAGAGGGAGAGAAAGAAAGAGAGACAGAGAGAGAGGGATACACTTGTTTCCCCACAGAAAACACCGGGAGCCAGAAAACCTGAGTAGGCATGGCTGGGGAGGTAATGTGACTGGGTGGGAGTGAGTGATGAGTTGGCCACGCCCACCCAGGTTTTGTGCCTCCCGGTGTTTTTTCTGTGGGAAATGTGTCCAAATGGCTTTTTGAGTGTTTAAGGTTGCAGAACCCTGTCCTAGACCTTCGATGTGAATCATATTAGACCTTCAATGTGAATCATATTAGATCTTCAATGTGAATCATATTAGATCTTCAATGTGAATCATATTAAAGGCTTTTTCAGCATTCTCCTTTGGTGTTTCTCAACCATGGCAGTTTGAAGATGTGTGGACTTTAATTCCCAGAATTCCCCAGCCAGCATAGCTGGCTGGGGGATTCTGAGAGTTGAAGTCCACAAGTCTTTAAGTTGCCAGTTTGTAAACCTCTGCAGTGCTGGCTGGGGGATTCTGGGAGTTGAAGTCCACACATCTTCCAATTGCCATGGTTGAGAAACACCAAAGGAAAATGCTGAAAAAGCCTTTAATATGATTCACATTGAAGGTCTAATATCATTCACATTGAAGGTCTAGGACGGGGGTCTGCCAAGGTTAAGGAACGCCGTTCTACTATGTCACCATGTCCAAAACATCACTTGACAGATGTTGTCAGAGTGATTGGTTAATCCACACTGAAAATGAATGGGTTATACACGATGCAATATATGCCCTATATCAAGTGTTATTGATAGAAGTGGCCTTGTAGTTTTCCAACTTCTAGGCCAGCGGTGCCCAGCCTTAAGGCTCATGGACTTCAACTCCCAGA